TTAAGCAAGGAACATGAGGATCTGCTATGCTCTTATTAAATGCCTCTACTAAAAAAAATTGCAGGTTTTAAAAAATATTAGTCTGTTAAGAGACAAGTTCAAAGCACCAATGGTTTCATCTCACATAGCAGAAACAATATCTGAAGTGTATGGGTCAGACCCCAGGACAGATGTGCCATCTCATTCCCAGGACTTTTCAGCTACATAATGCTTCTACTGAAAAACTTTGTGAGTTTAGAATGGTAACAAGACAACAGTTCCATGGATGTGCAGGGTTACCAAAAGCTGACTTACCCATGAGCATTTAACTCAATCTCATATTTTAGAGGTACAGCTAAAGTTAGTGTGTTATCCAGCAATAAGTTCCCATCTTCATTTTTACTATAAAAACACAATGAGAGAAACATCTGTACTGAAGGCATCATCATATGCTATGTACCATTTCTATAAACAAATATGAAACAGTTTTGCTTTAATAAGCTGAAAGGTCTATTTTATTGGTAACAACATGTCAAGCACTAAAACCCACCACATTTTATACAGGCAGAAACCTGTTTGTTATTTAAATATCTATTACCTGGGGTTTTTCACAACTTCTCTACAGATGTGCAAACCATATACTACCTTGTAATTGTGCTTTGCTAGGTCTTTCCAGTGTTCCCTAATCTGTTTTCCAAAGCTAGTAGTATTTTTCATTGAGTAATTTTTATTAGACTTTACCAGGTAGCATTAACGATGATGTTAAGGTCCTCTTCTGCTCTGGTGAATGAGCTTGCATCCAAGAGGAAACTATAATCCAGCTGCAGAACAAATACAATTTTCCTTATATTAAATGATAGTATATCTTAGCACAGTTTAAATAAAAGCTTTTTATGGAACTAATTTCCTGCTCCAAAAAATATTCAGAACTAAAAACCCAATTGCTTATTGTGGTTTCTACTCCCTTTCTATTTGTCCATAGCTTTAGCTCACTTGTCTAGAAGCCAAGCACAATCAGTTGATGCATAATACAAACATTGTTCTCCCTTACTGAATTAGTCCAGGGAGTGTTTAAGCAATTAATTTTCAAAGTAGTAGGAGAGATAGTTACCAACATGATAAAAGGTGTTAGTTGGGAATTAAATAAAACAAGCTTTTTTTTCCCCTTGAAATTCTCATAACTTATTTAGACCATTTTAAAGCTAGGAAATTCATTCATAGCTTACCTTTGATTTTTGATCTACATATAAATAACCAATGCTGCACTCGAGTTTCACCGCATGAATTTCTTTATCCAATAAATCACAATGTATCTGCTTTTCTTCCTAAAATAAAGGACAAATTATTAATGATTAAACTAAAACGTTTTTTTCCCAGACGTTTCAAATTACATGCACCCACTGAATTTGGATGCTTCATATTTTCCTGCACTATGCATTTGTTATTTCAGTCATGCAAATCTACAGGACGTTCATATCATTCATGACCACTTAACATAACATATTATATTGATTACTGTATCTGGTTATTTTATCTGCTGCTTGCTTATAGTGAAGCTGAGGGACATGATCAGACCCAGACCCACTCATGTTCAAAGCCAACCTCATAAAGGTGGATCAGGCAGATTCTACACAGAAAACAGTTATTTTTGAAAAGCAGAGAGAAAACAATTAGATTTGTGACTTCTTGTAAGCCTGTGTATTTGTGAAAAAGAGCAGATTCAGTGACATCTTTGTGATCACTGAAAACACAACCATCAGACAAAAAGTAGCTGTAACATCCTGAAATATATATAAACCTTTTTTTTATTAACTATTTTAATTGTTATTGAAATCCTATAAGTCACCTGTATTGATGAAATTGCTTGGTCTAGGTAGCTAGAAAGTCTGAGAACTTAAAAACTCAAGTTTTGTCAGCTTCTTTTGGTGGGAGGGCACAGAGGTATCTAAAGAAACTCAACAATCTATAAACATAATTTGTAAAATGCCTGGCTGAAAAAGGAAAATATCAATGGATTACTGTTTGACAGATTTAATTTTTTTTGTTCTTACCAGTTCTAAAACTCGTATGAAATAAAGACCTCTAGGGATCTGAATGTGGAGGACAGTTTCATATGCATCATCTCCAACGTTAAGCAGAGAAATGTTCAACAACAAAGTCTTCACACTTCCAACAGCAAGATATGTTTTCTTATCATGAGGCCTATAGAAATAATTATAAGTTAAAAATAATTCTATATACAGCTCATACAGAATTTTTTTCTCTGCTGCTCCTTCAGTTAATTTCAGTAGGTTCTGACAAAGCTTAGTTGGAGATATAAGGAATAGTAACTGAAGGTATGATACCAGTTACATTATGGCCATCTCCAGTATTGTACTTTTTAATGCCTAAGGTGGTTAGAGCAAGAAAACAGTTACCAGCCCAGATGTTCTGGCCTTTACAAGGCCCTTGCCTTTACAGACCAGAATAGCAAAGTCTTACTTCTACAGTATTTTCAGACATTATTTCAAAATTCACTCTTTTCACTCTAAGTATAGGGTTGACTTAATATGCAACTGGTCACAAAGTGAAAATGCCTATCTTATGATCTGCACAATGTTCTATAATCGTGTTACAAGTACAGACACCCTATTGGGGGCTAAAACTAAACTTCAGCTTGACATTAAAGTTTAATTAAGACTTGTAGAAAGGCTGCCTAGAAATAGACATTTATCAGATATTCTGGCTTGAAACCAAAGCATTAGTCACTGAACACCTTTGGGAAAGAAGCTGGCACTTGGAAAAGCAACAGAAGGCAAAAGCACTGCATAAGCAGATAGGTTCTGAGACAAAAGCGAATGAAAGAAAACACAATGTTAACATTTCAGTAGCTTGTTAAGTTTAGGTTAAATTTTGACGTTATTTTATTAGCTATATGCCTACCATTCAGTCCTCTTATATGTGTTAAAGCCAAGCTCATTAACAATGTGCTGTCACAAAGATGCCTCCCAGCTTAACACACAAGTACACAAAAGCACCAGGTGCACATCTGGGACTACAACAAAGCTGAACTAGAGCTTTTCCCTGGTAATCATATTTCATTCTTCATTAAAAAATGCATGATGCAGACTAGAAATTTACAGAGCAGGCCAAAATCTAAGCAATTTAAACAAAACATGATAGTGTATACATGAAGAGTCAAAACTCAGTAAGTAAAGCATTACATCGCCACCCCTACTTGATTTCATTCTTTTAAGACCAGAAGTGTTTGCTTTGCTGTTCAAGGATAATGAATGCATTCTGTCGAGGCAAAATAAATTAACGCTTCACAGCTAACTAGTTTTTAATCGAGATTCTAGGGGCACAAGGTAATTTAAGGTGATATTTCACACTTTATCAAGATATTTAGACTATTTATTTACACTGCAAATCTGCTACTGGTACCTAATGCCAAGCAGGTATGTTGTAATCTGTTTTCCTTTCTTAGAGCTTTGAAATACTTACAAAACTGCATTGCTAATGTTGTGAATGGAAATGCTGCACAGTCTTTCTGAAAAGTTTATGAGCGTTCAAATAAAATCATTCAGACTAAAACAATTAAAGGGCTTAAGACTCATGCTACAGGCCATGTCTTAAAGTAGGCAGAAAGATATTCATCTTACTCTGAAATCTATCAAGATGAAAAAGCTTGTGCTCAGGATCACACGTGTGATTAATCAGCATTATGTGACTGTCGTCATCTTTTGGTGCCATATTAGGTTGTTCTACTAGTATTTCAATTCAAGAAGAATCAACTTCAAAAGTGATAAACTACATAAAAAAAACCAGGTCACATAACTAGCTGAGATTCACAACAGGTGCAATTGCTCTTTTTGCACACCAACAAACAACCCATGCTTCTTGCTTTGAAATATAATCCTCAATAGAGAAAATGTTGTGATGATAAAATATAACTTAAAATAATTAAGTGGCTCTTTTTCCTCATTTACTTCAGAATATTTAATCTTCAGTTTTACACTGCTGATTGAGGCCTTGTACAGTGCAAGTACAGTACCTTCAGAATAGCAGCAGAAATAGCCAACAGGTTGTCAATGTAACAGTGGTTACGATGTCTGCACATCAAGTATGCATCGTGCAGTGTATCTTAGCTGAGTTATACACAAAGCATAGAATACAAGTTTATCTTTTTGTGAAGAAGATATATTTTAGGAGCTGTAATATGTTCTAATTAAATAGTAACAGTTCTTCAATTATGTATATTTCTATTTCCTGGAATATTTATGGTTTTAAAATATTCTTCTAAACACAGCTTTACTCCCTGTATTTTCTTAGGGAGTCTGCAGTCTACTTTTGCAAATTAATGTTATTTGTATACAAAAGATTAGGGAATAAGTTAGATAAAATCTTACTGAACCTCTTTAAAAAAAAAAAAAAGAAAAAAGATAGCCACATTGTACTTACTTTGGAAAAACAACTTTTCCAGACACACTCAAGTCAGCAGAACAATTTTCTTGGGAGCAAAATCTTGCAAAAACAAACTGTGAAAGCCAAATTAAAAACAAAAAAAAGGCACTTCAGTGTATTTTTCTTACTATAGTGAGTGAAAGCACTGCCAAAGAAAGAAACCTATCACTTCAATCAGTCTATGATTTACCATTTCCCAAACACATTCTGTGCATCCAGAGTAACAGTGGAGAGGCTTTCCAGACTCTGTCTCTCACAGTTAAACCAGTGGGTGTATGTTCAGATGGTTTTGTTAACTTCTAAAACACTCTACAGAGAGTAGAGTGTTTTAGAAGATCCAGAACTGATATCTCTGCAGCCTCTTCCATGATACAGCACATTAACTTTTACAAGAGTTTGATTACACAACCTTTACTCATTGTACTGTTAGTGAGGTCTGATGAGAGTACAGACACCCTGAGTTCCATGTGTCTGTGCCTCAGTTATCAGTGTCCTACAGAGCATGTTTATGCCACTGTATTCAACAACACCCTCCTTCTTTCTCTGTAACTCTGAGGTTTGTAAAACAGAAATTTGAATGAAGAGGGAAAGGCAAAGCATGCCATTTAAGAGAAGCTTTAATGTGTCTCAAGAGTTCTGATGGTCACCTGTACCTCTATTACATGAAGCTTACTATTTGTGAAAAGACATAATAGGTTTACAACCATTTGGTAGTTACAAATTGATCACATTCTGACTTCTGAAAAAGTCAAAGTCTATTAACTCTCACTAATTTTTTTTTTTGGGGGGGAAAAGGTTAATTTCATGCTTATTACAGGATAAAGAATACACATTTTTTTCCTACACAGACTGTTTGAACACCTGCAATACCTTCACAACTAATATTTCAGCAACGTGCTTGAAACCCTTTGAGAGTAATACCAACATGGTATTGTGTATTTAACACAGAATTAATTCTAAAGAAAATTTTATTCTGGAAAGTGACACTTACTGTGTAGTTGAAAAAGAAAGGATATTTCAGAGATTGGATTTCATACATGTGTGTTCTGAGATATATAGTATTATATATCCGGACAAGTTTTCTGCACATACCTCTTTTATTTTTAAATCATAACAAGGACTGTATACAACCTCTGAAAACATTTTTTACAGAAAAAAAAACAGGAATTTTTTAGCATTCGGTTTATTAATTAAGATCAAGGCACTAGGTATTGGTCTGGAAAATGCATTCCTTCACATGCTATGGATCTGTGAAGCTTTTTTTAACTGAAGATTAAAACATGAATATTTACTTACTGCATTTGAAAAAAAAGAGAACTCATACACTAACCTTGCTTTTTATAATATCTTTTTCTTTCCTCCGTTGAAGAACAGGTTGAAGTGGTGGAAATTCCTGAGCATCTCTTTTCTGCAGAACATGATGCCCCAGATGATAACTTGCTTCAACATGTACAGGAGTCAAGATATCCCTTACATCTTTCTATGAAAATTGGAAACCTAATGAGTTAATCATATAAGACAAGACATGTATGCTTATGTTTTAAAGTTATAAGGTTGCCTAGAACTAACTAAAACAGCAACACTTATTTTTCACATGTAAAATCACTCCATATGGCTCACATATCTTTCCAGACATCTTTGTCACCAAAGGAGGGAATCAGAAGTGCAGAAAAGTGTAATATGTTCAATGACAGCATCAGGTATTTCAGAATGGAAAATCCTTTTAGTAAGGGAAATCTTATTGAATAGTGAACCTACTTCTATCAATAATACTGCCTTACATACCTATGAAACTGTACTGCCAAATAGTAAAATAGGCTGAAGTTGGTTAAAATGGAGAAAGTCAGGCAGTGGGATAATGCCAGACAAACCCCATGGGTATTTCTGTATGAAACCAACAGGAGTTCTCCCATGGTACCACTAAATCAGGGCATAACTTCATTTTATTTTTCTGCCTTTTTGTTCCCCATTCTGCATTAAAAAGATTAAACTCCCTGATAAATTACTATTTTGCACATGAAGCCTTGACTGCGTAGGAATGTTGCAGATCAGAGCCCAAACTGCCTACTTGTGAAAGCTGAACAGCTTGAAGCACCAAATACTAACAATAGCAAACCTGATTAAATTATTCCCTGAGTGTAGGGGATAGACAGACATTGATTGTCCCTCCACATGGCCACTACTTTAATTCTTATCTGCAAGCTTGCGTTGGCCAAATCACATGTTATCTAATTCATAATAATTTTCCACAAGGTCTTCTCTGCATCTGCTTTATATTACTTCCATTATACTAATTAGCTATTAATTAGCCTTTACTCAAAATACATAAAATTTATATTGTCTTTTGCAAGCACTGTACTTGACAGACATTCACACTTACTTAACTTTAGGAGCTTCATACAAGTACAGAAACCTCAGTGGGTGGAAGGAGATACTTATAATGCTATTAATTAAGAAGTAAAAAGAAAATTGAATTCTATGGAGGAAAAGATGATAGACTATAGGAAGTAATGAGCCAAATCAATTCCTTCCTCCTACGCAAATACCTGCTGATGCTGGTACAGCAATCTGTACAAGGTCAGCTGTCAGTCAGACCACTCTTAGCTTACAAAACTTCTAAGAAAGTGGCAATTTGCCATTGCTCCTGTAAGCAACATTCACTTAGGTGCAACTACCAGTTGAGATGCATCTGGGCAACTTTCCAGTAGATAACATAAGCTTTCCTTTCTACCCTGAAGCTTTAGTGTGAAGAATTGGCTTGTAATGGGTGTCATAAGCAAAAAGTGAAAGGAAGGAAAAAGAAAAATACATGGAAGAAATTTTCCCTGCAGGTTTTTTATAACTGTAGAAAATTAAATCTATTTCCCAGTCTCTGTGCAGGATCAACTGCACCAGTCACCCTGATAGATGTTTGTTTCAAAAGGTCACAGAAATGCTACCTTGAGGATTTTAAAGAAAAGACTAGGCAAACTAGTCCATTATTTTATTACCTTTGTTTCCCCTTATATCTAAATATTTCCTGACCTTAGTATTTCTTTAAAGAATTCTTTCCCCCCCTCAGATAAGGTCTTACAGGAGATAAGTCTGCTCTTTTCCTAGTTTAATATAACATGGTTCCTTTGTGTCCACTATTTTTTATTGTTTCTTGTGCTTTAAGACTTCCAGGTCTTCCCATTTATTCTCCAAACTTCTTGTTGAAATAGGCAAGCTTCTAAGATGTTAGATAGAATTAATCACTTTTATTCTTTCTTGTCCACTGACTGGCCTTAAAATACTATATCCTTGTCCTGATTGCAGTGCTTTTTCCACTTTCAAGACAAGTCCCTCATTCATCATTCAGAGGGATACATCAAGCATGAATATGACAGCTCATTTCCTCCAGGGCAACAGTGACTTTGAGATTATTTTTCCAGCTAAGATCTTACTGACTAGCTTCTTACTAACTTGTTTCTAAGTCAGTACCATTCTCAGTTTCAAACGATGGTTGCTGTTGGATCAAACTCTGCTTCTGGAGAAACCATTAGACATCTTCCTCCTGCTCAGCAGCTGGTGCCATCTCTATTACCAGTGTTCATACAGGCCTCTGACACCCTGCAGGACTCCAACAGCCTCCTGCTGAAGAATGCCCACCTGGCAGCACTCCTACCTCAGTGGCTTCTCTTCTGAAGCACTTCTACCAGCAGATAACTTCTACATCAAAATTGTCTCTACATCTTCACAGAGAACTGTAACCATGTTCACCACTAATCTGGTCCAGGAGAAAGATACCTGTGCAGGCTTCATTTTTGTAAGCAGAGGAGTAGAGATACCACTTTTTCAGCACAGTGCACATTCTTCAACTCCTACCTCAGTGGCTTCTCTTCTGAAGCACTTCTACCAGCAGATAACTTCTACATCAAAATTGTCTCTACATCTTCACAGAGAACTGTAACCATGTTCACCACTAATCTGGTCCAGGAGAAAGATACCTGTGCAGGCTTCATTTTTGTAAGCAGAGGAGTAGAGATACCACTTTTTCAGCACAGTGCACATTCTTCATATTCTTCATTCATTAAACTCTCATGAGTGCTCTTCCTACCCCTTTTCCACACTTAGATTACATGAATATTCCCCTTGGTGAGTGTTGCATCCCTTGAAGGAAAAAACTGAACAACTACAAGCAAGTGATCTTCTTCACACCCTCCTACCCTTCGGCTCCTTGAAACAAACTCACAAAACAGACTACACTATCAACCTTGAACTACAGACTATTTTCTAGCAATCATCTCAATTTCACGTCCTATGCATCAGGAATGGGTTCTTTTCTTCTTAGCTGAGTCTACCTTATCCGTTCACAGTAAAAATGGGAGGAAGACCATATATGTGTCCTTTGGAATAATTACAAATGACAAAACATAATAAAAATTATAAGTTTAGGGATTTTGCATTAAGGAGTACACGATGAAAGTTCCATCAGAAAAATGCATGTTATACCATATCTTCTTGGTTGCTACAAACCAGCCTTAATCTATGATCTGTCATCCATACAAAAATGGCGAAAAAATGTCAAGAATGCTCATGCACTACTTCATGACTATGATTATTATTATTATTATTACGTACATTCTCACCAACATAAGAGATGATAGACCCACTGAATTTCCCACAGAAAGCTGAGAAAGCACCAGAATTAAAATATACTAACTGTGGAAGTTATGAAAACAAATATTTTACTCCCAAAACTCTGTGATGCAATTGTAAACAAAATAGGTTCTTCTGCAGCAGGCGCACTTTTCAAAGGAGAACAAAGCATTTACAGAACAATACAGACTGAAAATTACATTACCCTCATAAATGCTGGATGATCTTTGCAGGCAACATTCTTGCTATAAATCTTTACTTTTCCTGAGATTGTATCCGATGTTCCATTGGAGGAAAAATAAAACCTTGCTTGTGTATCCTCTTTTCTAGTTGTGTCAACACTCAGATTATAAAGCAATACTGCAAAATAAAACCCAAGGAAAATAAAGGCTGTTGAAAACTTTAACTGTTACATTTTTCATGAATTTGTGATAGAAATTGCATCTTCTGACTCACTTCCTTAAGTATGTTCTGTAACATCCATTTTAAAATGCTCTGCTTGAAAATTCTCTGACATAAATCCATATCTAATGAAAGCTCCTACTACTCTGAAAATGGATTGCCTCATGACTGTTCCCTGATACACACTTTTACATCTGGGTAGTTTTATCAGGTTATATTTACATTTTTCTATTAGACTGTATTTAAAGAAAACCCAGTTCAGTTACTTACGGGGCTGACAGTAAATTACAACAAGCAGGTAAGTCAACAAACGCTGACAAATATTGTATAACTTCACAGTTTTTTCTATATAAGTTAGCATGATAACAAATTGCAAATACGTTTCAGAGCATTACTGATCTCTTACTTCTTAATATCTGCCAAAAATTGAGTTAGATTATCTACAATTTCTAGTAGTCTTTTCTATTTATGATGAAGTCTCATGTCCCAGTCCAGCGAGGATAATCCAGTCTGACTGCTCATCTTTCAAAACAAATATGAATTTCAAAAGATCTTAACTTGTACTTTACAGTTCTCTGTATTGTGTTCCTAAAGAATATTGTATATTCTCACAAAGAATGGTTAAGCAATTTAATTTCATATTCCGTGTATTTGGAGGGCTGTTTGCAATTTACAAATAGCACATGACAAGTAAGTTAAAAGCACCCAGGCAAAACAGTCAAATTTAGATAGTAAATTAGTTTAAATAAATTCACCATGAATATTCCTTCCAACAGATATTACTTCAAGCAATACCAGCTTTTGCCAAAAGCAAAATATGCATTATATAAAATATAATACAAGATATATTTTGTCAATAATTTGCATAGGACTTCCTCTCTTTCACATAATGTTCCACAATGGTATGATCAGGTGCTTGAACTGCTTTATGAAGGAGTGTCTTCTCTCTATTGCTAAGTGGAAGACTGCAGCCTGCCCATGCCTAGGAGGTCATCTAAATATCACCTTTTTAACATCACTGTCTCTTCAAGGCCATGTAACTCTGGTAGTCCTAATGTGTCATTTTAGTCCTATGTACTGTTATTCTAAATTGAATAATAGTGAAATGGCTCAATGTTATAGGATAATTATGAGATTTAAACGTATCTGTGCTTTTAATTAATTTTATACTGAACTCAGATTAATGGTCTACTATATACCAATAGAATTATTCCGTAAGCAGGTGTATTCCAAATGAATATATATCCTGGATTTTTTTCCCCAGTAGCTTACCAATATAACCAGGTACCTCTCGTCCTCTATAGCTAAAGCATATCCTCAAATTCATGCAGGTGGCAGGCTGCTCATTTTCCATGCAGTTTAAATTAGTTCGATTTATTGAATTAGGATGTTTTAAAGAAGCTTCAACAATTATCACCGGTTTCGTTCTAAGAATAGAAAAGAGTTAAGGTTTACAAATAATGTTCAGAAATAGCTTACAGAATCTTTGCAAAAACTAACCAATCTTTTTTTTATATTTTAGAATCATCATTTTTAGATGATTTTAGATCATTTTAGATGATATGTTTTAGAATCATCATATTTTAGAATCATCATCATTAGAATCTGCATTTTTCAGATAGCTTCAGATGATATTTTTGTTTTCTTTCAAGTGTTTACTTAAATGTTTCATTTGTAGTGCATTCTAGAGCCTAACGACTGAAGTTCAAGACATCAAGAACAGTATAAGGAGGTTAAATTATACTACTGAGTTTTATTAAAAAATAGAGTTAAGTTGTATGATCTTCAAAAGCACTGAAACGTAGCATGTCTCACCTCAGCACCACGGCAGAATTGGAGAAAAATGCACCAACTGCTACATCTGCAGGAAAAAAAGATATCAATAACCATAATCTGTCAACAGGAATTACTTCTCAGGTACAAGCATTTTACAGCCTATCCACCGTTTGGTCAGCATTAAAACACCATTTGCCCTTTATTTATTAGAAGGGATGTGCTAATATTGGAAGGCGACGATTCCTCAAGTACTTGTCCACTGTCCACTAACATTTCATGCTAATTTGCTGGACTTGCAGATATTGATGTTTTGATTACTATTCCACATTGAAGTGGCTGATACTGAAAGACAATTTGGCTAAACAGCAGGTACCTGCCTTCTTTTTAATCCAGATATTCAGTCTCGCTGTACATATATATATACACACAAATGCATATTATATATATGAAATTATACATAGAGAGATAGAAAAAACTATTTCATGTATTACAAACTAACTGAAAACTATTCATGCAATAAGGAAGGAAACATACACAATATATATACACCTCTCAAATGAGGAAGTAAAAGTGAATGGTCAGCTAACTCTAAATGATTTAAGGGTCTGAGGCTGTAACTACAAGTCAGTAAACAACAGGTGACCTTTTATCCCAGCATTACAAATTAGCCTGGATATTTCTGTTGACAGAGCCAGAGCATACAACATGCAGTTCATAACTTTGTGCTTTCACATCCAGAGTGGCAGGACAGACATACCTGACCTGACGTAACACTTGTCTGCAAAATGTCAAAATATTTTGATTATTTGTAAAAAACAATTAACATATACTTGAAAAGACCTAAGTGGTTTTACACCAAATTAGCACTACTGTATCATGCCCATGAGAACCCCACAAAGGTCCTACTCCAATGCTGTGGGCCGTAAGTGAGGTTAATGTAGCATTCACTCAGAATCAGGGAGCTCAGTGACTCCTGGCAAAATCCAGCTATGTGAAGGCCAGTAATATATTTGGGCTAGCATCTAGTGTGGACAACAAACATGCTTCCAGTGCCCAAACCACCTCACTGTGACATTAGCAGATAACATGGCTGCTGTAAAAATAAAAATTACATTTTTCTTCCTCTTAGGCACTATGATCTTACTATTGCAGTGTTCTCAGTCCTTAAATAATAGTTAGATGACCATGAAAACTGACTGCTTGGCCTCAGCTTTACCTCATTGGTTTTTTTCTTCCCCAAATGCAAGATATGACATGTCATCTTAATAACGGATTTTGCTTCTGTTAAAAGCAACAAGTAGCACAGTAGGGTTGTTCCCTATGAGTATCTACTCTATTAGAATGAAAAATAAACAAAATAGTTTACCTTGATAACCATTGTTATCTGCATCAATGCCACTTGCTATGGATTGTCCAAACATGCTTAAAGAATTACTGACTTGATGTCCTTGTATTCTCTGAGAAGGAAAAAGCAAAATAAAAAGATATTCTTGGAAAGCTAATCTCACAGTTACAATTTCCAGTGAAAAATGTTAGCACAACCATCCTGCTGCTGAAGGGAGTGATGTGCTTACCTGTGAAATTAAAGATCTGAAAGTAATATTCCTCAATTACTACAAATGATAAATCCCATAAACCTTGTCTAAAACCCTCAAAACAATTAATTTTTCTCTTGCAGGTTATATTCTGACTGGAAATATGCAAAAATATGTAAAATTTTCTGAAGTCTTTTAAAGTACTTCAGAGGGTCAGAGTGTTAAATGAAGGGAAAACACTCTCAGACTTAAGCTTAAGGTTTTTCTGGATTATTTTTCATCGAAGAAGCATACCTGTGAAAATGATGGTGTTATTCCATCCTCCCTGCCATTGTATATATAAATGGCCCCTTTTAGATCATCTTCTTGTGGAGCTCCAATTGCTACATCTGTGGAAAAACAATTTAGCAACAATCAGTTGACTAGGAAATATGAACAAGGAACAGTTAAAGAAACGTGAATCATGATGCATGAAACACCAGACCTAATCTACTTGACTGAATTAAAAAGCAGTGATAGATAATAAAGCAAATGGAAACACTACAGACCAGCTCAGTAATCTGACTGCCTTAATTACTAGGTTTCTGGAAAACAAGGGTCAGATACAGCTATTTTGTTCAAGTAAAGCCTATTTCTAGCAATACTCAATTTGATCCTTAAGAGGTTAAAAGGTTACAATGAAAATAGCCAAAATTATCACCATGATCTTTAAAATAATAAAAAAAAAGCCTTGGGTTCGTGGAACTGTGATGATTTTCCTGTTCTTTCCACACGGATTAAATCACTGAAACACAAGTATTACTTTTTATGCTGCCTGAAATGAACCATTTATTTTTCTATGAAATGTCCTTAACAGTTTAACAGCCTCAACAGGCTTGAATAGGCATTTAAAAAGGAAATGAAGGTAGCTGGTTTGTACAAAGGGATATGTTTTATGCCTACATGATTTAATCCCAGAGGGGTGTGGCAACTCATAACAAACTGAACCAGCCTACTCACACACCAACCCACTCTCAACAGCTCTTACCAAAAACTTCCATGGTTCAAATAGCCAGAGGCTGTTAACCAAACAGTGGAGGGAGGGGGAGATGAATTACACCATCTTGAAAGTCCCTATTAATAATTGTGAACTTCCATTTACAAACAAGCAAAACTGAACTATCTGCAAATCAGAAATACTCTATGCTGCACCAAATCAAAATCACAAGAAAAGCAAAGCTCTGACTATTTAGTTTTACTGAACAATTCTCTGATTGAATGCACATTGACTGAATTCATACTGTGGTGACTAAAACACACAAAACATGTTATGTTTCTCTACTGGTGAGATGAAAATCGGACAGCCAAGTTACTGCCTGAGGGCCTGACTGGGCAGTAGTTCCACATTAGTCTCCCAGCTTGAAGGCTGTTTTCAATACCCCCATGTATTTAGTACTTATTGGTGGCACAGAAGCAGGCCTTGACTCAACGCTGAATTTTTAATTTTTCCCCAACCTTTGTCTCAGATATATAAAACAGGCTTAGTGATTCCATTTGAGGTCCAGCACCAAAAGTTACAGATTATGTTATTACTTCAAGCTCATGCTCTGTATTAAAGAGACAGAATCTAATCCCTTGCTGTTACATATCAATGACTGTGAAGTAGCTATATTTCAAGTCAGAAGAAAAAGGTCAAGTCCCAGACCAAAAGTATTCTCAGTCTTCCATAATACTCTTGTTTATCATGACAGTACAATGTTCAGGGAGAATTAAACCCTGATTTATTCTTACCTATTTATTATTTATTCTTACCTTCAAAACCATCATTATCTATGTCTCCTAGATTGGCTATGGACTCTCCAAACCTGGCTGCATATGAGTCACTCCCGCTGAGCTCTATGTTCAGTTCTACCATCTTGGCATCCTGAAGGAAAACAGAGTCAATAGCACATTAACAGAGCATCTTCCAGGTGACCTGGAATATTTCTCAAAATGTTAAAACTGCCTTGGATACCAATATATAATCCTACTGAACTCCTTGATGCAGAAGAAGCATTATGAAAGATATTTCTCAATATTTAGTGTAAGAATAACAAGAGAGAACACCACTGTGTTCCCATAGCCAACACCTGTAAATAGCAGCAAGCTTATATCAGAATACAGGGGCTTACTGCTCTGAGAAAACTGTGTTTGCTATAAAAGTACTAAACAGTAGCTGCTTTGGAGCTATTGTGTGTGCCTTAATGAGTTGCAGGTATCCTGAAGTGACAGTTCTCTGTAAGGAAAAGATGTTAAGAAAATGTTCATAGGAAGCATAGGAGAATAACTATGTATTAGTGTGGATAGGAAGGAAGGGAAATAAGTCATGAAGATAAAATTTACAAAGCCAGACAAATTCAAAAGCACACAAACATAGTGATTACACTTTCACTTCTGAACCTTAAAAATAGTAAAAAGAAGCTAATACTAATGTATGATCTGTCCAGTTACTTTATTTGCCAAACTGAGGACTATCAGCCTCTTTCCTGACTGGTGCCAGTACCTGCATGCAAATTCTTCATTCCTTGTTTTTATCTGAGGTGCTTAATAAGTTGCTCTTCACATGCCAGTTCAGTGGTAAGCACAATAGTGGAGCAGAGCTTGCAAAGGGGCTGTAGTGGCAGGCTGTCACCACCTGAAGGTACTAGGAAACCCAGTCTGTCTTCAGTTCTAACACTAGTTTAAGTACCTGAATTACAGTTGACACCACTGGCCTTCGCAGGTATGCTATGCACTCCTCCTGGGGTTGTCATTGCAGTTCTACAGTTTCCTGTCCTATATCCTGAAATATTCTATGGCAAGAGAGAGGCAATCTCTTCTTCTTAGCCTGTTGTGCTAGAATGGCTGTATTGCCACTCGTTTTTAAGAGAAAATACTTACAGAACCTGAATTAATATAGACATAAACTCTTCCTTCTTCTCTGTTGGTACTTTGCATTGGAGCACCAACTAGTAAGTCTGAGAGGCCATCAGAATTCAGGTCGACAGCACAAACTGCAGCTCCAAAGTAAGAACCAAGCTGTGTGCAAACAAGAAAGCATTTTTGTATTTTGATGAAGACATGCTATAAGTTATTAGGTGCAGAAAAGTATGAAATATTTACCTTTTTACCCCTTAGTTCAAACAGAATATTTAGTTGCTTCTCAATGCTAAAAATGTATGCCTAAAAATGAAAAGAAAAGTGAAGTTCAGCAAACTGTAATCTGAAATACTTCCCTGTGCTTCCTCTACAGCATGTGCTAGAGAATCAGCAAAGCAACACACAATATCACAAGGCACAGCTATGCACTATTTCCTACCCGTACCTTCCTTTGATACCACAGTTCACACAAATGTTATCTAGCCTATCTACTCTAATTCCTTCTTTGACTTTTCTCCCCATAAGATGTCCAGACTCTCTGATACTTGTCTTTAATATGTTAAGGTAAACTGGAAAAATCATGGGTGGCTTCATGGGGCTATTTTCTTCAAACCGATAGTATAGACAATCCCTTACTTTACCAGTCTGCTCCTGTTGGGGAGCCCCTCCAACTACTTCTGTACTGGATGGTGTCAGAAAATGTCCAGCTCCAACAGAGTATCCTGTAAATTAGAAATGCACTATTCAATACTGGAAATGCTATATAAAGAAAAAAAAATGGGAGCATGCCATATAAAAGCTGTCAACGCCACAAATTATTGTGAGTCTGACATTCAGACCTCAAGCAAGTTAGCAATAAAAACAGAAGAGAAAGTTTTAAAAATACAAGCAAGAGGTCAATACAAACAGTAAGTTTCAGCAAGCAGGAACAAGTCTCAGAAACCCTCATTTCTATCAGGGAAGAAAATTATCTGCCATACTTCAGAAGCCAATAAAATAAATTACAAATACCTCCTGTTAGTCCATATTCTGCAATTATTCAGTGACCCCATATTATTAATACAAATAAAAATGATCAAAAGTCCATGCACTGCAATGTGGAAACATTTAATTCAACTGTTACTCTTTGCCTATTGTTGTAACTGGACTGCAGAAAAATTAAATGTGGTGCTACCTATATACATGAGCACACAGGCACACACAGAGTACTGTGGACACACACACGAAAATGTCAGGAACACATTGGAGCAAAAGCCTGACTATGTAATAAGAAAACATAACATCAGCCTTTGTAAATGAATCAATGTAACAAAGCATTGCTGTATAAGCAGGAGCATACTTTGGTGCAGACATCCAGACACAGAATTGCAAAATGAAGGCTAATGCCTTAATCTGTAGCTGCACAAGTCATCCTACTCTTTCCAGACCACAGCTAAGTTGAAACATGGAAGACAGTTAACATATTCTGCCACTCTTGCATATGCTGAATAACTGCTGATTCTCACAGCATGCAGAGAAAATGAAAAAATCATCTAGGATCAGGTGAGAACAAGCATAGAATCTTCATCTTGAATCTTCATCTGCATAGATAAATGCCTAGAATTCAAGCTCTCACTAACTCATCTTTTTCTTTTCATATGAAACATGGAAGACAGTTAACATATTCTGCCACTCTTGCATATGCTGAATAACTGCTGATTCTCACAGCATGCAGAGAAAATGAAAAAATCATCTAGGATCAGGTGAGAACAAGCATAGAATCTTCATCTTGAATCTTCATCTGCATAGATAAATGCCTAGAATTCAAGCTCTCACTAACTCATCTTTTTCTTTTCATATTGTGAGCTAAAAGAGGCAAACAAGGCAATTTATCATTGAAATTTTATTTCCAGCTCCAGAATTCTCTCCTCTTTATCACTACTACAGCTTTTCAGTTTTCTGAAATGTCATTTGCTGTTCTCAGATTCCTAAAAGAAACTATCTTTTATTTGTGGTTTCTTTAAGGCAGTTTGTTAAGCACTTAAAGTTACTCTTTCATCGGGCCCACTTACAAAATTCCTTTTAAAGAAATCAGTTATTATTCTCCAAGATACTCTGAAGTCAAGAAAATACAAGAAGTTCTCTTTCTAACTTCCTTCTTTCTTTTGTCTGGTACATAAACAGTTCTGTTTCTTCCAAGTTACAGAATATTTTACAATACTTCTGTACTTCCTGCAGTCTTTAGTTTCTTAATTATTATTCTTTGACAGTTTAATGAAAAACATAATGAAAGACACCAATTTCTCAGTCCCTGCCAGAAGAAGGACAGAGAAAATAGATAATTATGTCCAGTCATGTGTTTGAATTGCACTCTGGTCACAATCTACTTCCACCGCTCGGCGGGGATATTTTATTCATTGCTTAAGGGAGAAGCAAACTCAGACTTTAAAGAAAAATAGTTTGGTAACAGAATTAACTCTGTTAATTTTTGTCTTCAATAATTACAAAGATAGAACAAGCTGAGGGAGGGGAAGGAAATTACCTTTATGTTCTTTTAACCTCATTATGTATTAGGAGGGAATGAAGTGGAGGTTTAAGTAGCATGAAACAATGCAAAATTTAAGGTTTATCACAGCTGCTACTGTAGAGACACACAGATGAGCTAATGGTCTATTTCTTCACTTTCCTGTAGAAAGGGCAAGTTTAAAAGACATATGGCTCTGCCAGCCAGTGTGCACTAGGTCACTGGAGAAGTATTTGTGAAGCAAACTCCAGTTGATTTCAGATCCTGGATGGCCAAGGAAACTAGGAGAGACCATACCTGAGCGTAAAGACCTTCCCTAAGTGTGAGAAATGGTTCTTATGCAAGCTTTGTCCCATTTGCCTGCATCTGGCTTCTGGCTATCAATGATTTGACTCATTCATTACAGAAATTCTCATTCTTATACCTGTAGGAGCAGAAATATGGACTGGGCTTTTTTTTTCCCCCCAAAGAGGTGCAGTAATTTTCTACTGATTGTTACTGGAAAGCTGGAGCATGCATTCTCTGAAGGTTTTCATTTGTCCTATGAAAGGTTAGAAATGTTACTGGTTGGCCCTAGTGATCTGGGCGTCGGATCACCTTTCACCATCCGACATCTCTTTTGCTTGACTTTCACACAGAGCCCTACTACAGCCTTTGCAAGGCTCAGTACTGAATTCTGAAGTGTTACTTAGCCACTTTGTATTTCATAATAGCTATTTCATAACATATGCCTACTTCCTATTGCCAAAAGAGTGAAACCATAAACAGAAAATGTTTATCTACATGAACTGGATCTATGAATGGGAAAATGCAAAAGACAATGGTCACAGGCAAAAATACTCAGGAAGTTCAGGAAGGACAGATGAGATTTTCTTCGTGTGTAGAGAGAAGACTGAAGCTGCTGATGGTTCTTGGCTTAAACACTTCTAAATTCCAGCATTAAGTTCAGCGAATATCTTGGATGTAGGTACATGAGTAGGAACTTCATGGCCATCTTTACAGACATTCATAAAGTTTGCCTTCCCATGTATCTAGACCAAGACATGGTTAGAATACAAAACAAACAAAAATAATTATGGTAAGAGGCAGGTCTGTCTCTTGAGGTCACAGCATACTTCCCCATATTGACAGTGCAATTGAGACTTGCTGCAAGCTTTCACTGTAACTAATTTTTTTCTATTTCTGTTACATGTGAAATCATGTCTTTTGCTATGAAAACCCTTGGCAGCATTTCAGACTTAACAGTGAAGTGCAAACTATTGCTAATCAGAAGCATATTTCTACCTTCTAAACCAAGAAATGAGAGAAACTCAGTAGAGAGATGATAATGGAAATCCAATGTTTGAGAAGTTTCCTTGTAAAAAGAGCAAAGAAGCCTTACAATTAAGTAATATTTAACAAAATCAGAACACATCTTTAGAACCATTGCTGCTGGGATTAGTAGTGAAAGCACTGAAAAAACACTGTGCATGCCTTCCAACACCAGATATTTAGCTTATATTTTTATCAAGCACAAATTATTTTACATACCTAGGTAACTGCCAAATTTCACTTGGTTATTTGAATCTGTATAAGCATGGATTGTATTTGCAGTTGTATTGTATACAAAAACTGTACCAGTCCAATAAAATGATCCAGGAGCTCCCATTATAATTAAGTCCTAAAAGAAAAATAAAAAAGGCGTTATTCACATTTAAATATTCATGAAAATAAACAGAACAAGTCAAATATTTTTCTATAGATCTCCTGTGAATTCAATGAAATGCTACTGGAGAAATTAGAAATAATAATCTTAGGGTGGAATGGAGATTAAATAGATTATGACTTCTTGTAAAGCAAGAAGGTAAGCATTATTAGTGTCAATGTTACATCAAACAGATTAAAGAGAATAATAAAACTTCATGTTCTTTTTCCAGATGAAAAATAACTTTGGATTCAGTAAGATGTAAAAATATTCTTGGCAATAAAAAGTAGAAGTCTTAGCTGGGAATTATCATGCAAGCCTTAGCAAGCTTCAAATAAAAAGAAGTTAGAAAAGTGATTTTTGCCTCCCACAATAAAAGACAGTATTGACTTTTGCATTTACATGTACACTTTTATGTATGTATACATATAAGTATATAAATAGAGAGAAGTTTGGTATCTTTAATACATACCTCAATGTAAAAACTAGACATTCCAGCCTGGCATGACCCGTGGTTTTCTCCAAACTTCCGTGCATAATCTGGGAATGGGCAAGAAATATTAAAATGGATGAGAAGCATGTAGTTTCAGAGGTTGCTACCAGGTCTTCAATAGAAGTTGAGAAAAACAAAACCAAAACAAAACAACCCCTTCCAAAGAGCTGGTTTTCAGTTCTGTAATAAAACTAAGACCACTGGCTTCCACTCTACGGCCTTTAGCGGCAATACAGTATTGTAACAAACTCAAGCACTATGTTTCACTTGATCACACCTGCCTTGGAAATATTGTGACTTCAATGGATATACTTTTAAAAGTGTTATATGAATGAAACAGCACAAATAGTTTAAGCACCACAGCTGGATAAACTAAACTCTTCCACTCTGGAATTCATCTGCTTTACAGGTTTATGTACCTTGATAGGAGTTGCCCTGATGCTCCGCTAGTGCTCTGAAGGGCTTGTTACGGCTGTCTTAGACATACTGGTATCTTAGCATGCTTAGCAGCTGACTTTACATCCAACACTCTCAGCTCTGTTTTCCTGTTATTCTTTGCTAACTGCCTCCCATCAGGATTCCCTTCATCTCATACACAGATTTATACACTGAAGGTCCTGATGATTCCACCAATGCTTGTAACAGTCTCCAAAGCCAGCAGTGGGACATTTGATGGCATTACTCTGCACAGAAAGGCTGGGTTGTCAGCTGTTCCTTGGATTGGCAAGACACAGCGTCATGACACTGTTCTCCTGGATGGGAGGTAGACATGAAAGGGAAGGTGTGGATGGACTCCTTTGATATCTTCAGGTCTTGACTCTTATTCTGCTCCTGAAGTCCACTGTGGAAGGACCACTGAAGGTCTCAGGTCACAGCAGTGGCCTTGGCAGGAGGCAAGAAAGGAACAGGGACATGCACTGTGACAAGGCACCGCAGCAGCATTGTATCAAAGGCTAAGAAGCAGATGGCAACAATCACTTGCAGGTATTACTGCTCCTCTGCTGTGAGGCTCTCTCCTGAGCAGAGCAAGCAAATGACAAGAGTAAAGGGAATATGTCCTCTACTGGCCTGTTTTTGAGAAGCACACATCCTTCAGCAATCCGGTCCAGGGAGAAAGTATTCTGATGCCCTGTTTCAACTATCTTTTTTGCCTATTGAAAGCAGTTTTTCTTTGAAATGATAAACACCTTGCTAATAAATTTACATCATAAACTGGGCTCATATCATCAGCACTCAATCTTCAGACTTTTTGCTGCAGAATGCCTGCTCTGAGCAACAGAAGCTCTTCACAAACTCTGCACTGTCCAATTATCTATCTCATCCTTCCCCCAAAAAAGAGCTAAGCATTCTGCTTACCTATATAGCATGGGCATATTCTTCTGCTCAGTTCAGTTCGAAAATCAGAAGAGATGGCAAAACATATACCGTGGGGGAGTTTGTGTTCATTTTTCATGTAAAATATATTTTTCCATCTATGTCCACAAGCCTGTGGATAAAAACCAAACATGATGTGACATGGAAGCATAAGGCAGGTGAAAGCAGGTAAAGGCAGTTTGACAAACAGACACACAGCTCCAGTGGTTAATACATACAACAACAGATCCATTTTCTTTCGGCTGCCTCGACAAGCTGACACCCAGCC